TCCTGAATGTTGCTCTCCTGTTCACTGTTCAGCCCCCCAGCATCTTCAACAGCATCTGGGGTACAATGAATGCTCAGCATAGTAAGTACATAGTAAGCTGAATAAGTAACCTGTGAAGAAAACAGAGTGAGGATAAGAAATTCCCTGAGAAAGGACCACATAGTGCTTGGTATCCATCATTAAACTCTAGGTACACAGACGGGATGTCAAGGAACTGGTTCTGAGCCAAATTTGGTTTCCCTAATGCAGGAACAGCCCAGGACTCAAAGGAAACAGGCAGTGTGCAAAGCCAAGAGTGGCTGAGGGGCAAGTGGCGTTGGAAGATGGGCATGGAGACGCCTCCAGTCTCACACCTCCCCTAAGTCTCAAGACACACTTAGGTGTCTGCATGTTCATCATTCGAGCCTCCTTTGGAGATTATGTCTATAGTTTCCACAAAATCCAAATAACCAGCCAAGCTCGGCCATTCAAAATTGCTGTCTGAATAAGAAATATCCTATCAACTAACCATTGGTAGGGAAGGATCCACAGTAAATGGTCTTGGAAGAGAAGCTTTCCTAAGAGACCTACACAGAATCAAGATTAAAAGCAGAGGAGTTGCCCAAGAAAGATGGGGCCATGATAGTTATGAGTGTCCAAATGGTTCCCCAAAGGGATCCCCACAGGGATCCCCAAAGTAGAAGACAATGCTGGCCAGGCTGGGAAGCAAGGATGTGTTGGTGCAGATGGTTTGACTGCTCTGTCTCGGGTATACCAGTTGGCTCCACCCTGGTATACCATGCTCAACAGCACAGGGATATACCCAGGGCATAGGCAAATGTGGAGGTTTAAAGTAAAAAGCTGAACAGGCTGAAAATCCAGCAAGTCTTAGACCAGAGAAATAAATGAGGTCACAGGGTAAAGTGCTGTCCTTGAACTAGAATACAGCAGGAAGACTCAGAAAGTTCCAACACACGGAGCAGACGTCTCTACAGAAACTGCTGCTGATGCAGAAAATCCTGAACTTAACTGATGAGTTCCTATAAGATAGATGGACATATATGTGGGAGTTGATACTCCCAGGTGACCCAGCCACAAGTGGCCCTCATGCTTTTGTGACTTTTAATTCCAGGAGCTTGAGTAGGTTCCCATAGTAGAACTCACAAAAAATTTTCCCTCATACATAGGAAAAGGGGGGCTTTTTTTTCATTTTTCATACCTCACCTCCTCTCCCCTCCAGATCTTTCTGTCTCTCATTAGAAAAGAACAGGCTTCTTCTAAGAGATAATAACCAAATAGAACCAAACATAAAACAAAACCATCACATTGAAATTGGACAAGGCAAACCAGCGGAAAGAATAGAGATTCTTTGTGCCCAAGAGAAGGCACAAGAATCAGTGACCCACTCCTTCACACACTCAGGAGTCCCATAAAAATACTAAGCTGGAAGCTATACTCTAAATGCAGAGGACCAGGTGCAGACCCGAGTTGGCCCTGTACTTCAGTTTCTGGAGGGAGCCATTTTTAAATACACCAGCTCATTCTGTTCTTTAACAATGTCCACTCAGAAGAGAAACTAGCTACCAGGACATGCTAGTGCTTTCTCAGAATCTATTTGGCCTAGGTAAAGAGAAATGTCCAGCTGAAGCTAGATACAATCTTCTACATGTGAGGAGTGAACACTCAACTCTAGGCCATTCTGTCTTGTTTTAAAAGAAGACCTAGGGGTTGGGGATTTAGCTCAGTGGTAGAGTGCTTGCCTAGCAAGCACAAGGCCCTGGGTTCGGTCCTCAGCTCTGAATTAAAAATAAATAAATAAATAAATAAATAAATAAATAAATAAATAAATAAGTAAAAATAATAATATTTATTAAAAAAAAAAAAAGAAGACCTAAAAAAAAATGAGTAACACTGGTGACATTCACAATCCAAGGGCACAGGTGCACCAAGACGAAGGCCTCGTCACTGAATTACAGAAGGTTCCCTTTCCCTGACTCCTGGCTTCTACGCTACCAAAAGCCAGGCCTCCATAAAACCTCTACTCAGTACATCATGTCTAGAGAGCAAAAGAAAAAGTGCAAGGCACCCTGAAGACAAAAGCAGTGGGAAGAGGCAGAGCAAGCACCAGAAGGAGCTGCAGTGGAGATGTAGAGTTAGTGTGCAGGGAATCGAAAGCAACTGGGTTAATAGCGAGGTGCTCCGCGGCACGAAACAGGCACCAAGCAAGAACACACGGCGAGTACATGCAGAAAGACAGAAATCATGATCACAGCCTTGCGGGACGAAAACAACCGGAAATGATGCTGCAGCCGAAATGAAGATCTTTGATGGGCTTTTAGTATTTGTAGACACGGCTGGGAAAAGAGTCTTCAAGAGCCCTGAACCAACTGCACACGATGTAACCAGCTGTTGGGGACAGCAGAGCAGCAGAAGGGAAGAGAGAGGCAAGAGAGACAGCAGAAGCAGTAATGACAGAATTTCCAGGAAGCACGGAGAACACAGAGCAGGATTAATGGAGGTGGGGAGAAGATGGGCAGACAGAAATAAGTAATCTTATATGTAGGGTGACAAAAGAAACCAAAGACACAGAAAAAATGCTGAAATCATCCGGAAGGGAACAATAAAAACACCTTTACCTCTACGGGAGCAAATATATATATATATGTCATTGAGCAAGCAAGAAGACAGTAAGCTGAAGTACTTAAAGCTTTAAAATCGCAAAACATTAAACAAAACTCTCCCTGAAAATGGAGAATAAATGAAAACATTCTCGGACATAGAAAACTGATGGGTCTGTTGCCTGCATCTGCTTTTCACAAAACACGAAAATGAGTCAGAAAGAAACACACAGGTCAGAAACACAATTTGCAGAGGGAAAAGCAAAGTACCAAAGAAGGGTCATGACTGTAAAAGAAACCCCAATGTCTTGTCCTTTGTTGGTCTAGCAGGATGTTTGAAGTATAAGTGCAGAAATGGATCTCCTGTGTATCCTTATCTGCATATGTAGATTACAAATGTCTGTTTATATAGAGAGACGGGATCTGTGTGCTTCTGGATATGAAAATGAGTAAAAGCAGTGACCTAAGGGGTGAGGGGAGGAATTCAAATGTCTCCATTGAAGAAAGAACACTAGATGTGAGACAAAATAGAACCATCTCAAAGTGAGCTCAGATTACACATTATAAACTTTAGGGTAACCACTAAAGTGGTTTTTTGTTTGTTTGTTTGTTTTTTTAGTGTAACTGACCTGCTATTCAAAGAAAGACACTATACTCATAGAACATTTAAATCATAAAAGGGGACCAGACACAGTGATGTTCGCTTGTAATTCCAGCATTCTACAGGCTGAGGAAGTAGGCTCGTAAGTTCCAGGCCACATACAGCAAGACCCTGTCTGAAAGCAAGCAGACAGACAGACAGACAGACAGACAGAGGGGCTAGAGAGATGGCTCGGCAGTTAGAGTGCTTTTTATCTTGGTTCCCAGTACCCACAGTAGGTGGCTTCACAACCATCTATAACTCCAGTTCCGGGGCATTAAACACCTCTGTCTTCTACAAACTCTTGCATGCTCGTACACACACACACAATTTTAAAATCATAAAAATAAGTCTTTAAAAGCAATAAAATAGCATCAAATGAAATTGCAAATTCTAGAAATCAATAGAGATTATTAACAAAATCCAAAGTTTGTTCTTTGAATAAAGCTCAATAAAAGCAATTGGCCTCATGGGCTCCCCAAAGTGAACAAATGCATTATTACTATCAAAGATGTGCCGTTACTAAAGATCGCATGGACATTAAAACAATCACAAAAGGTACAATCTCACCAAACTCACAGAAGTAGAGTCAGACATTCCCAGTGGAATTACAGCTACTAAGAAAGGCAGAATTAACAATAGCTTTCCAAAACAAAAGGGACCAGGCCAAGTCAAGTTCATTAGAGAATTCTGCCAACTTACAGTAAATCTCTATTTATGCCAGAATCTTTCAGGAGATAAAAATTGAGGGAATACTTCCAAACTTATTCTATGAGGCATTACCACCATAATATCAAAGCCATTGAAAAATATTACAAAAAGACAGCTACAAGAAAAAATACCTCTCATGAACACAAATGCTATAAGTCTCAATAAAATATAAGTAGATTGAGTACACCATTATCTAAAGATGGTATATACTCTGACCAAGTGGGACTCATCTTAAATACACAAGCCTGAGTCCATATTGGAAAATCAATTGCAAAAGCCAGAAACAGGCAAAGAAAGACAATTACATGATCTTATTGGGAGACAAACACAAGCTGGGTGGTGGTGGCACACGTCTTTAATCCCAGCACTCAGGAGGCAAAGGCAGGCAAATCTCTGTGAGTTCAAGGCCAGTCTGTCTTACAGAATGAGTTTCAGGACAGACAGGGCTACACAGAGAAGCCCTGTCTTGAAAAAACCCAAAGAGAAAAGGCGGGGGGGGGGGGGACACACAAAAGTATCTGATGAAGTTAAACACCAGTAAACTGGGAAGAGAGGGAAGCCTCCTCTATCTGCTCAATGTCCTAAAAAGGACAAGTTCCCATGAAGACCAGAAGCAAGGCAGGGTGTCCCTTCTCAGTACACACTTTCGATGTTATACTGGAAGTCCTAGCTAATGAAATAAGACAAGATAAAGAAATGTATACTGGTCGAGATAGACTTCATCTTTGTTCATAGATGGCATGGTTGTCTTTGTATAGGATGTAAGAGAACGATAATAATAACAGCCCTGCCAGAACTTATAAGCAGACATTAGAGCAAGGTTGTCACTACAGGGTTCATGCACCAAGTTCAATCGGTTTTCTATATACCAGCAATAAACAAGGGGGATTTTAAGTTGAAAACACAGAACCACTGAAGCATTAGTAGTCCTAGAAATAAAACCACTGACTGTAAATTTTATAAAACATCACACACACACACACACACACACACACACACACACACACACACACACACATACACACACCACGATGCCCCATGCTTATGGGTACCTGGGTTCAGTATCGTCAAGACACCACCTCTTCCTGTTTGATCCAGTCACTGTAATTGCAACTGAAAGCCCAGTAACATCTTTCATAGATACAAAATGATTCTATAGCCTCTGTGTGAGCAAATCAAGGGCAGACTAGCCACCACAAAAGTGGAGGAAAAGAACACGGTGAAGGATGAACACCGTCTGGCTCCGAGATGTACTGTCTATCTGCAGTCATCAAGATAGTACTGTACTGGAGAAACAAACCAGCAGATTGATGGAGCAGAATGTTGTCCAAAAATAGACCCACAAAAATAGTCAATGAGTAAGACAAAGGAGCAAGCACAATAAAATAGAACACATACATGTAATCTTTTCTACTACAACTAAACATGTTCATACTCAAACATCTGTGCTTAGCCACAGACACAAAGGTAAAACACCAAACTGTAAAACTATTTGACAACGTCAAAGGCACAAACCTAAATAACCTTGGATCTGATGGATGATTTTTAGATTTATAACACCAAATAGAATCTGAGAGAGAATCGATAAGCAGTCGCTGACATGGAACTGTTCTCCTCCACCAAAGACACTAGGGGAAACAGTTATAAAAGACTCATCTGATAAAGAACTGATTTTCAAAATACACAAAGAACTCTGAAAACTTAATAAGAAAATAAGCAGGGGACTGAAGAGATGGCTCCGAGATGAAGAGCACATGGAGCTCTTGCAGAGGACCTGGGTCCAGTCCTCAGTACCCACACGGCAGCTCTTGTAACTCCATGTCTGGAGGACCTGACGCCATCTTCTGGCTTCTATGGGCACTGAATGCATGAGACACACAGACATACACACAGACAAGAGACCCATAAATATGTAAAAAATAAATAATTCAAAAAAAGAAAACTACAGACCAATTAAAAACATGCCAAATATCACAATATCTCTCACTAAAAAAGAAACACCAGTGGAAAATTATCACATGGGAAGAGGCCATAAGTCATATGCCATCCAGTTAAAGGCAAAACAAAGTGACGGTGAAATGCCACCACACATCAGCTAGAGTGGCTAAATCCAGAACAGTGACGATATTGAATGCTGACAAGGATGTGGGACAAGAGACCCTCCCACTCACTGCCAGTAGAAGAACAAAATGATGCAGACACTTTGGAAGACAGCTCGACTATTTTTTCTGAAACTAAATATTGTCTTACCATATTACCCAGACATGGTGTTTCTTGGCATTTACTCAAATGAGTCTAAAACTTATGTACACACACACACACACACACACACACACGCACGCACGCACGCACGCATGCACGCATGCATGCGCGCGCGCACACACACACACACACACACACACACACACACACGCACGCATGCATACACACAGTATGTGAGTGTTTACAGTAACTTCATTAACAATTGCCACCAAAATGTCCTTTAGTGACTGGATAAATAAACTGAGGCACATCTGAACCAGTATGTGGATCATTATTTAGTGCTAAGATGTGTTAAGCTAGTGATGAAAAGATCTGGTGGAACCCTAAATGCACATTGCTCCCTCAAAGAAGGAGACCTGACAGGCTGCTTCCAAGAGGAGTCCAGCTCGTGTGCAACGTTCTGGCAAAGCCTGAACTATGGAGACACGAGATGCATGTTTTCAGGCACTGTGGGGGTATGAGAGGTGGAGCGACAGTACACAGGGCTGTTGGGGCAGTGAAACACTCTGTGATTCTGAACAGGCGACCTTGCCATTATAGATGTGGCCAAACCCATAGAACACGACACCAAGACTGAACCCTGATGTGAGCTGTAGCTTCTGAGAATGAAGAACATTGGTAACAGGAATGCTACACATGTGTGGGGTAACGGTGTATGGAAGTGTGTGTGTGTGTGTGTGTGTGTGTGTGTGTGTGTGTGTGTGTGTGTGTGTGTGTGTTGAGGGTACACATATCACCCATGCACTCCATGTGGAGGCCAGAGCAGGACATCGGGTCTTCTCCTCCTTTTCTTCTTTTGCTCTCTGTCTTGGTGCCTGAGACAAAGCCTGTCACTGAATTGGAAGCTCCACGTTTTAGCTAGGTAGTCAGCAAGCTCCGAGGAGCCCCCTGTCTCTGCCCCCTGTGCCGGATTACAGGCATGTGCAGCCATGTACATGGGTGCTGGAGATTTGGAGTTGAGTCCTCAGGCTCACAGAGTAAACACTTTAGCACACTGCGCCATCTCCTCAGCCCTAAACTGCTGTTTAGAAATAGTCTTCACAAAGAAAACAAGAGTGTGTCATTGGAAGGTTGTCCTCCCTTGGGGATCGCAAAGGACTAAGTGAGGATTCTACTGGACCATGGCAGCTAAATGATGTCTCGGGACACAGCCTCTTGACTACCCTTCGTCCTGGATGGTAAAATCAGGCATCCTCATCTCTTCCTGGGGTGTTAGAAGTAAGTTTCTGCTCTGCATCATCCCATTCATTTCCTTAATTGATCCCATCACCATGTGTCTGGATTGGCAGCCTCCCCGATTACTTCAGAAATGGACATGGTGGTATCTGCTTGTGAACGCTGAAGGAATTTCTCCCCCTAACTTGGAACGGAGGGGAGAAGCAAAGAGCAAGAGGAATAGTGTGTTGGTTTAATCCTCACCCTGCTATCTCAAAACTGAGATGACATTCCGGTTGCTTCATCATGTCACATGACTGGGTAACATGTAGCCAACCGCTCTGCTTAAAGGAGAGCAGTCAGGTAGATCTTGCTGGGGGGGGACCCCACATCTGCTCCCCCTTTCTTCCTTAGAAACAAAATCAAGATTTTACTGAACGGCACAATCTATCAGCCAAGAGAACACGTTTCCCTTTTCTTCTGAGGGCCTCAACAAGAGTAGAGTGGGCAGACTGTGCGGGTCTCCTGAGTAAACAGTTCAGAAGTGTGTCTCTTTGCTCCCACCAGACAGCATCGGGTTAGAGCTTAGTGGACAACGTGGACCATGAGATCACGGAGAGCGGATGTCACATGGACAAGACTGCTGAGTTGAAGAAAGAGGACCCAGTTTTCCACAGAGCTGGTGCTGTGCTCTTCTTGCCCTCTTGGACACCCGTTTCTAGAATCCATCAATCAACCTCCCCTGCCCCTGCCCTGCCCCACCCCTGCTCTGTCCCTGCCCCGCCCCTGCCCCTGCCCCACCCCTTCATGACTTTCCTACCCCAAGTCCAGAGCACGGTGCTTACAGCAATGTGCTGGCAGAATGCTTTTAATCGTAGGGAAACAAACGCTTCCTAACTGATAGACCTATCTCAACCTTATGTGTGACTCACTTCCAGGTTAACCCCAACATTTGTAGAGCTGAGGCCTCAAATAGCACTCAGGACAGGTGGAGCCCCTAGTCTGGCGGGCACCCTCCTCTTCCTGCATCTAGGTCTGTCCATTGCATGGTTATCCAGCCTTGAGTAAGCATGCTACCACCTGGCCATCCTTCAGGATGCATGGAGCCATGAAGGACACTGATGTAGGCTCTGGAATTGGCTCCAGCCACCTGAGCAGGGAATTCTAAGACCCTAAGAACCCGGGCATGGTATAAAAGCCCCAGAAGGTCCTTGGTGGCCCTGTAATCTGCTCAGCCTCTGAGAAGAACACTCCTTTGAGACAGGAGATCTGCCTTCCAGGGTCCAAATACAGTCTCCCTGTGTTCTCCTTCTGCTAAATGACTGTCACTTCTGACTGGATTGGGATGCAAATCGTGACATAGTCTAATTAACGACTTGTTTTAGAGCCTTGGTGAATGGCCTTTTAGAGGAGAATCCAGGGTCTAAAGCTTGAGCTCTGGTGTTTTCCTGTTACTCTTAAGGATCCTGTCTTCCTCCACTAGGCACTGTGATGGAAAGGCCTGTAAACCTGGCTCTCTGCCATGCTTTGCCTTGGTAGGCTGTTGTTAAGATGCTTAAGCAGAGATTTAGCTGTCACTCAACTGCAACTTTGTGTTAATGAACTGAAGCAGGCCCTTCAGGTCCTCTGTCTCAGTCACACCCGGGAAAATCTCCAACAGGCTCTGAGCTGGATCCGTATGCTTCCATAAACCTCACACCCTGGGAGGACAGTGAAGAAGGTAGAGACTGAGCGTTCCAGTGTGGACCAGGAACTGTTGCCCACAGAGAGAAGGAAAAGAGCAGGTCGGAGTTCATCAGGCAAGGAACTCTAGGGTACGTCCCTGGAAAGGCCCTGGACTATGTCCCAATGCACATTGATCTGTCAGCCAGGAAGCCTGCCACTCAGCCTGGGTAACAAGGACTGAAAGCTGATGTGACAGGCCCAGATCCTCCCCTGCTCCTCACCCCCAACATGCAATGACTTCGATTCCTGTACAGAACCTGTCTGGTCCACACGGCCTGTCGGTACAACTGGGAAAACCAGTTCCGTGAATATGAGAAGATCCGCATTTCAGTTCAGTCTGTGTATCTTGGATGGTTTTTTCATTCAGTTAATGACTGTGAGGTTTATTTGGGACCATGGGTCTCTGTGTTCTGTCAGCTGAATAATTACCAGAGGACAAGAACGCTTGCCCAAGGGGCTTTTGTGTCTTTCAAACAGTCAGATGTGACTGAAAGAGAACACAGAGCAAATAACCGGAGCTTTGGGGACATCAAGCTCCAGCTTGCTAGTCACATGGGTTTATTACTTTCCTCATTTGCTATAGTGTACGTGTGTGTGCGTGTGTGTGTGTGTGTGTGTGTATGCGTGTGTGTGTGTGTGTGTGTGTGTGTGTATGCGTGTGTGTGTGTGTGTGTGTGTGT